TAAAATGTCAGACATGTCAGCACAGGCCCAAAATAGAGAGCATGAAAATCAGACTTACGAGGGTCGTCGAGACGAGGAAGATCCTCGTCGACAATGAGGCCGACATGACTAAGAAGGGATAACTCTTTGATCAACGGGCGAGCCATGTAGGTGTGTTTATTGAGCTCGGCCAGCATCGACTCGAATTTGGGGCACCGTGGCCGCTTATTTTGTTTAACCTTGGAGGTAATCCAAGCGTTCGGGTAGGGGTATTTACCGGAAGCAGGTCGAATAAAAACAAACTTCGACTTCCACTTAGTTACGTTTGAAGAAAGGTCGTCAAGAAAAGTAACGCTGGCGCGACGACTCAAACAATGGGCGTCTTTTATGAATCGGTAGCTATAACAGTGAAAAAGAAACTCCGGAGAAAAATATCTAAGTTTTATTCTGGAAACGACAATAAAAGCGATCATGATGCGAATCGCATTAGGACAAAACTGATTTATGGGTACATCGTACAGATCACTAATAGCGCGAAGTTCGGGTTGAATGGGAAAACGAAGACCGAACAACACTTGGTCGATAAAGAAGGTATAAAAACCGGGTGGAGGATTAGCATAGTCGTCAGTCGGTTTGGGAATGGCTAGTTCCCAGTCGGCAGGAAGACCGCTGTACACTCTAAAGCCCTCGACCTCGGCTGCAGAGGCATAACAAAAAGGATTTAAAACAGCTAACTTAGCTAAAGGACATGCTATTGAAACAACATCTCGAGCCTCGAGAAGAGGAACGATTATGGGTAAAGAAGAAGGACTTGTTCTATATACAGGAAAATCTAAGATCCTAAGGGGAATACCTCGGGGAATGAGGTCGAGACGAGGAGACTCTCTGACTCGGGATCTTCAGCCAAGACCCCCGACATCCACGCTTGTCTGTAAGCGTCCTGGTCAATACCGAAAGATGATACATCCGAATGGGAATTCGATGATTGATCGGCCGGTTTGAAACCGACTACTTGTACAGAATCGGACGACTGGGGACCTTCGTCGATCAAGCGCTCAATGGTATCGGGCGAAGAACCAGTGTCAGAATCTAGAAAAACGAGAAAGAAGAGTCGAGATCAGTAAAGGCGAATTTAGTGCGAGACGAGGAAGGGCATAACCAACAAAGAATAAATCGACTTATGGAAGTCGACATAAGTCGAGCCAGAGGATAATCACGGGAAATTGGTTTCGAAACAAAGGAAGTCGTGAGAATACTTCACCCGTCCTTATGACAATAAGCGAACATGGGCGAAGAAGGTCTAGGAGAACCAAACCCAAAATCAACCTAAAAAAGCGTTAATCGACTTGGAACCAGAAGTCGACTGGAGGCAAGAGTGAAATAAACAAGAAATCTAAAGGGAAACTCAAGCAAAGAAGATCTAACATAACTCGTGTAAAGCCATTCAAAAGAACACCAAGAACACAAGTTTTGAAACCCAGAAATGTCCAGGAAATATACAAAAAACAAAAAGAGAAGCAGCAGAAGTTAAAGAAATTAGAGCACTTACACATGACTTTTGTCGAAAAAACTCTGAAGATCTGGAGTCGCCGAAGAGAAGGAAGCGCCGGAAAGCAGAAAGCACGGAGAGCACCGGAGAAGTTTGAGAAAGTTCAGAAAGCAAGAGTGCAGAAAAGTAACATTTCGAAGAAAGGAGAGATACTTATAAAGGAGGTAACTGATTACCAGCCGTTAGATCACGATCTGATCTAACGGTCCCAAGTAAAGCGCGGAAAACGAGGAGACGGAGGTGAAGCGATGTGATAGGTACGAATTTGAATTTCGAAATTTAAAAGAGTGTCAGGCTGTCAGAGCTATCTCGAAGGTAATGATGAGGTCTCACAACAGCACCGTAGGATTACAAGACAAGGGCCTCGATGTCGAGGTTTGAATAAACGAGCAGATAAATCGACCGCCAAATTTACTCTTAAGCAGTCGACTGCTTAGAGTAATTTTTGGAGGGGATTAGATGATATAGCCACATAAGGATAACCCGGTCCAGAGGCTCCTTACTCGACCGGTGAACCATTTGAACAACTCGCATGTCGACATGACTCCGTCGACATGCTCAAATCGACTTCCCTAAAGTCGATTCTAAGGAGAGCAGTGGAGAAGAGGCAGAAATCGGTCTAATCGACTCTCGCAAGTCGACCTTAGCCTATCGACTTTCACTAGTCGATATCAATAGCGGAAGAACAACAAAAGCATAACTTCCAACCATCCAGATACTCTAAGTCGACTCTAAGAAGTCGACCTCGCTAAGACGATTCTCTGAAGGCGATTTTCACTCAAAAGAACGACAAAGCGTAGCCTCCGGATACTCATATGATCATGAGTCGACCTTACAGTGCTCGAGGTTGACTTCTTACGCCTCGAGGCCGAGAACGTGGTGACGATTCATCACACTTGCAGCATACTTAAAGTTTCATACATTACCAAGGATAAGAAGGAATCTTGTGATGACTCAGCATCCAGAGGAGACGAATCGACCAGGGCATTTTGGACCTTCTAGGTCCACCGACTCGGGCATTTTGGGCACTTCAAGTAAGTATTCACTCCTATATAAAGGAGGTGAGGTAACCCCAAACCCTAACTCTGATTCATTCCCATTCTCCCCCATAGCTGCTGCGCAGCATCTCTTCGTCACTCTCATACTGACTTGAGCGTCGGAGGCTCTACGCCGGAAACACCTCCGGCGTTGAGTTTTTACAGGAATCTTGCGGTCTAGCAACGATTGGAAAGCGGTTCAAGCAGATCTGAGCTCACATCCACCGGTTTACTCCAGATCCGGAAGTAGACACATCAGCAGCACAGTTGAATTTGGAGCTAGCTCAACTTGACGTGAAGACGGCGTTCTTAAACGGAGATTTAGATGAGGAAATCTACATGACTCAGCCAGAAGGATTCAAAATTCTTGGAAAAGAGAATTGGATCTGTAAGTTGAATAAATCGTTGTACGGACTGAAGCAATCTCCGAGACAGTGGTACGAACGGTTTGATAAGTTTATGATTGGGCAGAAGTACACACAAAGCAGACATGATCATTGTGTGTATCTACGCAAGCTGCAAGATGAATCTTTCATTTACTTACTCTTGTATGTGGATGATATGTTGGTTGCATCAAAGAGCCAAGTGGAGATTGATCATTTGAAGGCTCAATTGAATCAAGTGTTTGAGATGAAAGACTTGGGGGAAGCTAAGAAAATTCTCGGGATGGAGATAAGCAGGGACAGAAGGAGAGGCAAGCTTTGTTTGACTCAGAAGCAATATCTGAATAAGGTCCTACAGCGTTTCGGCATAAAAGATGAGACGAAGCCTGTAAGTACACCACTTTCCCCTCATATTAAGTTAAATGCAGTTGATAGTTTGATGTATGCAATGGTGTGTACAAGGCCCGACATTTCACAACCAGTTGGTGTTGTTAGCAGATATATGCATGACCCTAGTAAAGGTCATTGGCAAGCTGTGAAATGGATTCTACGGTACATTCATAATACTGTAGACGTTAATTTGTTTATGAGCATGACGAATTTGGCCAATGTGTGGTTGGATATTGTGATTCTGACTACGCGGGCGATTTGGATAAGCGAAGATCAACGACTGGATATTTGTTCACTTTTGCGAAAGCTCTAGTCAGTTGGAAGTCTACCTTACAGTCAACAGTTGGTTTGTCTACAACAGAGGCAGAGTATATGGCAGTTACTGAAGCTGTGAAGGAGGCTATTTGGCTTCAAAGTTTGCTTGAAGACTTGGGAGCTGGTCAAAAGCACGTCTTAGTGCATTGTGACAGTCAGAGCGCTATTCACTTAGCAAAAAATCAAGTATTTCATGCAAGAACGAAGTATATTGATGTTCGCCATCACTTTGTGTGGGAGATTCTAGAAGATGGAACCGTTGTGTTGAAGAAGATCAAGACGACGGAGAATCCTGCAGATATGATGACCAAGGTAGTGATAGCATTCAAGTTTGAACATTGTTTGGACTTGACTAACATTCTGCATATTTGAGTTGGCGCCGAGAGGCGCATTTGGAGGCACCGCCAGCAGTTGATTTGGATTGAAGAGTTGAAGTGGGAGCAAAATTAGTCAAGGTGGAGAATTGTTAGATTTTGATTAATTTGTTGTCCCACATCGGATGTATACCAAAGATGTGTAGGATCTTATTAGTATAAATAGGTCCCTTGCCTTTGGGTTACAATTGCACCTTATTCTATTATCTCCTCTCTTGGAAAAAAATCCTAATTTGTGGGTTATTTAACCTAGTTGTATTTTGTTGGTGAGTTTAGTAAATTTGGCGTTGCGGTTGGCGGTGCCCGGAGATGTAGGCTATTTTCGCCGAACTCCGTTATCAGCTTTTGTGTTCTTTTTATTTCTCGTCTTTTATTTATTTGTGTTGGCTTATTTTCGTTTGGAGTAGTGCTTGCCATATTTGTTGGAGGGGTATTTTTGTCCGCTGCGTTTGGTGTTCTACCCCAACACTGTTCACCATCACTACATGCTTGAAGAAACCCATAGATATTATTATGTTGGGGTTGTACCCATAGATTATGCTAATACAAAAGGGTCCTATATGATAACAAAATCCAATAACATGCACAAGGTACATAAAATTAAATCTTTATTTCCACAAGGAATTGAAGCTGAAATTATGTCTAATATGAAAAGATAAACATAAAACCAAATATTTGAAATAAAATAGATTTAAACCTTGCTTCATAGTTCAAGCCTTCAAGCCTTTATCTTCTTCAATTGGTTTCTAGTTCTATAAAAATAGAACATTTCCAACAAACTAATATTATAACATCCTAATTAGTTTATATTCAATAAATCAGAATACGGAACTAAAATCAGCGTGCAGAAAACTAAAATTAATTTCTTGAACTCACTTGCATCAATATTGTTGAATTGTCATATTTTGTCACCCAATGCCAAGCTCACCAGCTTGAGTGACTCGATCTTGCCGTTAAACATGAAGAATTGCTAGCCGTTGGTCCTCGAGCCGGAATTGGCCATGGACAGGACGTCCGACATGGTGTGCTTCATGATGAAATTCTCGTCGGTGACCTTAGAAATTTATGGACATAAGCATATAAAATTATAAAACATGAAATATTACCATTATCCAGTTTATATCAATAGCAAAAACATAAGCATATAAAGCATTACTATGAAGTATGAACTCTATCAGATTTAAATATTTTATTCATGAATTGAAAAATGAGAAAAAAAAAAATATTAAAACTGAAATTGTATTTGAGCACTTTCGGTTGTTTTTTCCTATCTATTTTCATTGGGAGAACCTTTTGCTATATATATAATTGTAGTATTGTTACAATTATTTGATAAAAAGGTTTGATAAAGAGAACCGAAGAGAAAATAAGCTGTAGAGCTAGCAAATGATACAACCCCTAGCGCCCCACTCCCAATCTAACCCCTAATCTACATCATATTTACACTTTGAACACTCCTTTCTTGATTAGTTAATTTCCACTCGCAATCTAACCCATATTTTTTGATTTGCTAGTTGAAAACTTAATCGATTGCATTGAGAATTATCTGAATATAGTTAACTGAAGAGCAAAAAGCTGTAAAGAGAAATGTGAAAAAATCCTGACAAACGAAAAAACATACCTTTCTCTCTCCACGACCTGTCACCGGAGAATCGCCGGTCACTGGAGGACTGCTGGAATCTGGTCGCCTCAGTCAGCCGATGAAAAGGCATTGTCGCTAACCATGGCACTGCCTTTTGCAAGCCCCCATGCACATATAGAGTCTTCACAAGCCCGCCTGCTAATAACGGAATAGAAACACCTAAAATGTAAGGAGGAAGAAAAAGAACCACAGATTTTGTAATTACAAAAGAGAAAAATCAGAAAATATAAAAATGTTACAAATCAAGAAATAATCCAGCATCGCTCAGGCACTTCACTTTTTTAGTCACAGTGCAAAATAAAAGCTAGGCCACCAGCCGATAAAAACTGGAAAGAAGTGTCAGAAGGGAATGAAAACTACAAGAGATGAGAAAAGAAAAAAAAAAAAAAAAAGAACAAAAAAAAAAAAAAAAGAATACGAAAAACTAAATCAAATAAAGATCAATTTACTTGGTCAAAATAGCGCCTTTAGAAATCAATTCATCCATTGCAGCTCCCCATATCCGGTGTCCTCTAGAATGCAAACCCGCAGCCTGCACAAATTTATGTCTTATTATAGCATGTAAAAAAAGGAATTTAATTTTCGAAATCACAGACATTCTATTGGGACATGTAGCTATTTTATCAATGGCACCTGTGGAGGGGGAGCAACTCTAAAACAAGAACAATACATAATGAAACTTGTAATTATAAAATTCCAGACAGTAACCAAATGGGATAGAATGCTAACAGACCTCATTGTCACCATCCCCAGCAGAGGCAGCACCATCACAGTAGTGTACCTTTACTTTGTTCCAGTTGAAAAAATCAGCTTATAGTAAAATAAAAATTAAATAAAGTAAAAAACCATCATACAAAGCGGGGAAAGAAAAGGTTTATTCAGTCTTATGGACCTGGATTGTCTTCAGCCTTACTGCTAAGTAACCCTGTGAATGGAATTATCTTCTGAAAATTTGTTGACAACCCATGCGTGTCGGTTTACGGTAAATACATGACCTGAGACTATTGCACCTTCCTTCACCCAGCTACAAGGCTAGTAAAGTGAAGTTTATAAACAAGCACACACACAAAAAATTACGAACAATCAATATATTTTTGTAAAACATATGTAGTAGTCTGGTTCTATACATGCCAAAATTGATACTGACCAAAAAATAGTTATTAAAAAACAAAGCTATTCACAAAAACCAATAATTTTCGTATCCTATCAACCTGTCAACCTTTCAGTAAATTTGTGAACTAAATAGTTACAAAAATTAAGGTCAGAACAATATTGTTGGGATGATTTTAAAACTAATGTACAATGAAAAGTGATTGAGTTAGTAAAGCATGAAGACTATACGAAAGAGTAAATAAAAAAATCATACAGTCTGCTAAAGTGTAGGCTGCAAGCCATATATATGTTTGAGTACATGTATAAGTTCACAATCAGATAGATAAATGAAAAATAGAGGCCTTTGTATTACTCAAGAGACTGATAGTTTCTGAAAAAGGTGAAATATTTGATATACAATGAACCAATAAAAAGAACCTAAGAATTTATACAATAATTTTTATTAAAATAATGACTTAGCAACATTATTGTATTACTTGATGATATTAAGCAGCAGCCAAACTTTTTACGACGGTAGTTGCACAAACTTCAACCAACAACACTAGATTACTAATTATAAATAGGAAAACTTCATACACTATTAGTGAAATGAATATAAATTTGTTAATAAATATAATATATTAAGGAAGGTAAATAGTTATGTAAAACTTTATTATAGAAGAAATATACTCTAAGCATATAACTGTTGTGTTTCCACAACTTCTAATAGAGACTGATGAAGGTTGCAAAGCATGAATGAAAATAAAAATAAGTAGGAAGAATTAATTTTAAAATGGAGTAAAATAGTTTGAGACCCTTTTACACCATACACTATTTAGGGAAATTATTTTGGCACCAAAACTGTGGAAAATTATTTTCTTTTTGGCTATGCAATAAATTTTATAGAATGACAACATTATTTTCCGTTTAGTAACTAACCCGACAGCACATAAAGAATTTATATTTGGCGATTTGTACAAAAGTACAAGGGCGAATTACATCTGGCCATGAACAAAACTCAAGTTAGCATGTTTATCATAGACAGACATACATAACATTACATGAACAAGGAAAAATAATGGATAAAGAAAGAAAGAATATTTTCTTTTTTTTTTTTTTNAAATTATGACCAACTAGTTGAACATACTAACAAAAGCAAAACACCAAACATATGAAAAAAAATAAAATAAAAAAGCACAAACAAAGGAAACCACAACATACATAGTTTAAGTGATGAAAAACAATTGGCTTTTGTACAAGTCGTAACATAACATATGCTTGTTGATATACATATACACACATCATATACAAACATAAAAAACCATATATTTATCTCATAAGCAGCCAAAACAAAGAAATGAAAAGCAAAATAATTATACTGTTAAGTTTAAAAATGAATCATAACACAAAGGGAAGCCAACATCAATTTTTTCCCCTAAAAAAGGAGCAACAGGCACAAAACAAACTCAATCCTATTCCCTCGTTAATCTATCATTGGCCATTATGGATTACTTTTATGAGATAAACATAGTTCTTTTTAAAAAACCAAGGCCAGTTGTTATCATCAACATGTTATTCCACATCTCAATACCACATATCTCATTAAGAAGTAGACCAGAACAACAAATTCTAAAAGAGAGTTAATGCAGACAACCTAAAACCAAGAGAATTCTAAAATATACATATAGGTCTACTTGGTTTATTTCTGTCATATCGTTTGGCTAATTCACATAGAGCATGAAAGGACCAGGATAGTAGGAGTGGATAAAGCATGTGTTGTAAAAAACATTAATAATTGTACAGTACTTCAACACAGCCACACCTAACAAACTAAGAAAAAAAAAATGAAAAACTACACTATTTACCTTCAATTGCCAACACTAATAATCGTACAGATAAAAAAAAAAAGTGAAAAATACACTATTTACCTTCAATTGTCCGCCATTTGAATGCAACCCAAGATGAAGGTAAGAAATTGGGATTTATTTATTTATTTAAAAATAAAAAAAATTAAGTGGACAAAAAGCAAAAAATTTAAAAATATGTAGACAAAAATCAAAACCACGTATTTTGAGAATACGTTTTTATTTAAAAAAAAAAACGCATTTTCAAAATACGTTTTATAGAGTAATTAAAATAAAACGTATTCACATAATACGTTTTAAAAAAATTAATAAATAAACGTATTTTGGTTATACGTTTTACAAATAATTAAGAACTAAACAAATAATTAAAAACTAAAACGTATTATCAAAATATGATAATACGTTTTATAAATAATTAAGAAATAAAACGTATTTTGATAATACGTTTTATATTTCAAAATTAATGAATAAAAAAATTAATATATAGTATGTGTTTTGTGTTTTGGGCTCGTTTGGGCACGTCTGAACTCGAAATTGAGTTCCATTTTTTTCTATACGTAGCTAACGAACCGCTCTATTCAATGATGCATACATGACAAAATTATTCTTGAAATCATATTCTCCAAAAGCTCTTGACCTAAACATTAAACGTGTTTCGCGCGACTTTATTTCTTGGGCCCGTTCGGACTCGTCTAAGCTCGAAATTGATTTTCGCTTCTTCCTATGTGTCGCCAACGAATCTATCTATACAACCATGATTTCCCGGTCAATTTTTGGGCTAAATCTATTCCTCACGGGCTAAATAATTAACAAATCACCTATTATATAAATAAACAAATCCTCCGTGGACCATCTATTTATATAATGGGTGATTTGTTAATTATTTAGCCCCGTGAGGATTAGATTTAACCCGAAAATTGACCGAGCAATCATGGTTGTGTAGGTGGATTCGTTGGCGACATATAGGAAGAAGCGGAAATCAATTTCGAGCTTGGACGAGTCCAAATGGGCCCAAAAAGCAAAGTCGCGCGAAACACGTTTAATGTGTAGGTCAAGAGCTTTGGGAGCTTATGATTTCAAGAATAATTTGGTCATACATGCATCATTGAATAGAGAGGTTCGGTAGCTACGTATAGGAAAAAATGGAATTCAATTCCGAACGAACGTTGTTGTCGTTCGCGGTCACGACGTCTTCTACCTCCACCAATGTTGGCATGGGGGCCTCGCCCTCTGTGACTGTTTTCTGGGATGGGACGTAGTCCTCCTCGGATAGAATTTGACTGAACGACACTCCTTGTGTGACCTCTTGGCCTCCAACAGTCAGAGAACTATAGGCAATATTGCAGAACTGTTGGTCAGATAACTATAGGCAATGTTGTAGGACTGTTGGAATGCGGCTTGCGCCCATGGAGAGAGTGTAGGAAATATGTCTTGAATATTCGCTAACGAGTTATAAACCCCCTCCAGGGCTTGAGTTTAAAAATAAAATTCAAAGTAATTAATATGAAACACCAAAAAAAGAAAAAAAAAATAATAAAAAAACCACAAATTATGAACACTTACATCGCACATCTCCCGCTCGGCAACTGTCTGATAGTCGCCGTCCTGTTGGACCACCGTGTACTTGGTAGGGTCACTGATAAGTTTTACAGTCCTAGTGTAAAACCAATCAATGTAACCCTACTCAGCCTATAGAAAGTGATCCACAGGGGCATCTTGGAGGACATTTTGTTCTCTTTCATCGACTCAGCCCTTGGTAAGCTGTGAATGAAAGGCGGCCCAATCACCAAATGCCCTCCCAGTCATTCCACGACCTCTGTGATGTGTCTCTCATTCTTGCTCACCACCAATCATCGGATTTTGGGGGATAGACTGCTGACACCCAAACTGACGGAGAACCTTATCAGACAAGTGGACTTCACGTATGTTCCAACAGAAGATCCACCCCTTATACATCCAAATATGTTGATCTTCTGTGCACTCATCCGAGAGAGTACCTATAGTTCTTTGACTGTTGGAGGCCAAGAGGTCACACAAGGGGCGTCGTTCAGTCAAGTTCTATCCGAGGAGGACTACGCCTCATCCCTGAGTACACAGTCACACAGGTTGAGGCATCAACCCGCTGCCAACATTGGTGGAGGTAGAAGACATCGTGACCGCAAACGACAACGACGCCCGTTCGGACTCGTCTAAGCTCAGAATTGAGTTCTGTTTTTTCCTATACGTAGCTAACGAACCCCTCTATTCAATGATGCATACATGAACAAATTATTCTTGAAATCATATTCTCTCAAAGCTCTTGACTTACACATTAAACGCATTTCGCGCGACTTTGTTTTTTGGGCCCGTTCGAACTCGTCCAAGCTCGTAGTTGAGTTCCGTTACTTCCTATATGTCGCCAATGAACCCACCTACACAACCATGATTTTCCGGTCAATTTTTGGGTTAAATCTATTCCTCACGAGGCTAAATAATTAATAAATCACCTATTAACAAATCCTCCATGTACCATCTATTTATATAATGGGTGATTTGTTAATTATTTAGCCCGTGAGAAATAGATTTAGCCCGAAAATTCACCATTCAATCATGGTTGTGTATAATGGTTCATTGGACACATATAGGAAGAAGCGGAAATCAATTTCGAGCTTAAATGAGTCCGAACGGGCCCAAAAAGAAAAGTCGCGCGAAACACGTTTAATGTATCGGTCAAAAGCTTTGGGAGAATATGGTTTCAAGAATAATTTTCAATGCAAGCATCATTGAATAGAGGGGTTTGTTAGCTACATATAGGAAAAAACAAAACTCAATTCCGAGTTCAGACGAGCCCAAACGAGCACAAAACACAAATACATACTACATATTATTTGTTTTTCAATAATTTTAAATTATAAAACGTATTATCAAAATATTATTTTTTAATTATTTATAAAACGCATTATGATAATACATTTTATTTCTTAATTATTTATTAAATGTATTATCAAAATACGTTTTATTTATTAATTTTTTATAAAACGTATTACTGAAATACGTTTTATACTAATTTTTCAATTATTTAAAAAAATAACATTTTGCAAATATAATTTTAAAACGTATTACCATAATACATCTTTTTAAAAAAAGTTAATTAAAAAAACGTATTATGAGAAAACGTGCTAAAGAAATTAAGTAGAGGAAAGCCGCTCCTTCCCCAAATTGCCAAAACCGTCGCAACCCTAGCTTCCATCTAATTCAGCCGGTTTGCGCCTCCTTCGGCTGCCGTCCGGTATGTCGGTGGACGGCCCTCCACTGTACAACCATGGATTTGGTCGCGGGGCTTTCCTCTTTCGTCGTGTTCGAAGGGGCGAGGGTGGGTTTTCGACAGGTTGCTCGGATCTGGGTGAAGCTCGCCGGAATCCTGAAGCAGCGGGGAATAGTGGAGTACTGCGACCGGAGATGGTGGTGGCCTGGACCTGCCTGCGTTCGCGCCGGGTTGTGGCAATTCATCTCACCGAGCTCTGAGGTATGCTCTGTTCCCCATCTCTTACTCCCGTCGGGGCTGTTTTGCGACCTCCTATCTCCGGCACCTCGATGGAGCTGTGGTGAAGGGCAGGGTTTTTGGGGCTGGGCGGAGAGCGGGTCGCTCATCCGGGCTATGTAGGTTCGGTAGGGCTTTGACACCGTTCGCTCTTCTTCCTACCTAGTTCTCTGTTGCGGAGTCTGAGGGAGGCCAGCCGTTTCCGACATTAGCTAGTGGTGTTATTCGAGGTCGGGACGGTGTCGGACTGGGCTAGTGGTGGTAGCCGGTGGGAGGGCGATTGTGGCTTCTTACAGTCGGAGAGCGGGTCGATTTGTTTGGTTTGATTCGGAAATCGGGTCCTCGTCTTTTCTAGGCGATAGACAGTGGCGGGCGTGGGTCTGGTGCTTCAGCTCTCTCCAAGATTCGGCCTTTGTTTGCTGTTCATTTCGGATGTTCTGTTGAGGGAGGACTTCCTTCTTTTAGTTTGTTCTTAGGTTTTTGGTTTTGTTTTTCAGCTTGCCTGTTTAGTCTGTGTTTTGTCGTTCTGTCTTGTGTTTTTGGTTTGGGCCGTTGGCCCCGGTGTTGCCCGAGTTGTGAGTGAGCATTACCCTATTGGGGTCGTTTTCCCTCATTCTCCTCTTGGGAGCTTTTTAGTTTTTGTAGTGTGTTTGTGTTCTAGTGTGTCACCGAGTATTCTAGCTTTGCTAGATATCAGATTTAGGCAGTCTTCGGACCTGTCCTCCCAAGTTTCCCAGTCGTTGGTTGTATTATTCAGCTATTGGCTGTATCATTGCACATTTATGCATTTATTTATAAAACCTCTATCGTTTCGAAAAAAAAAAAAAAAGAATACGTGTTTTTTATTTTTGTCCACCAATTTTTTTTCTTTTTATTTTTGCCCAGTTATTTTTTTTATTTATATATATAAACTACCCAAGAAATTGCAGCCAATAGCACTCTTAATTCCTTCACATAGGACTGGGCACCCATTTGCATAAATCGCAAATTTAAAATTGAAAAAAAAAAAACGAAAATGAACTCCAATTCATTAATTGTAAATTCTAAAAAGCAATTATGCAAACCCTAACAAATAAAAGGAAAGCAAAATAGAATTGACTTACGAGTACGAATCTGGTACGTAGATCTTGTGGTTGAAGATGAAAAAGTGCAGGTCCGACCGGCGATGGCCATGGAAAGGACTCCTCTGTGTGTTTCTTCATGATGAAGTTCTCGGACGAACTTGGCGTCGTAGGTCGACTCGCTGGTGGTACCTTTTCCGGTGGTGAAATCGCGTCGCTAACACACAGCGGCATAAGTTCTCAGCCATCTATGGCATGAAAAGCTCCATCATGAATCGCCCGGTGATCTGGCAGCAGAATTTTTCCTCTCTTCCTGTGAGAGGAGATCGGTCAATTGGGGTTTCTTAGTAGGTGTGTTTTCGGTCTGACACCTTCGTTCTCCTTAAGCAAAAATGATTTCAATTGTGTTACCTAAACAACGTCGTTTCTTAGGTAAAGTGAACACGAGTCGATCACTAAGGGCAAGTAGCTCCTTTAT